TTCTCAGCCATTCGTTGAACATTGGCTATATGATCTAGTTCTTCTTCAGTCAACTCAACCGGTGCAACAGTACTTGGGCTTGCTTGTCCGATCTGGTGTTCGGGTATTTCAATGTCGTCGAATGATTTCTCAAAGTCCGCTCCCGACGTTGCGCTAGAGTTATCATCCTGAACATCCGTCGATTGATCTTGCGACACCATGCTTGGCCTAGGTGGAAGTACTGGTTTAGAGAGTGTCACATTCTCAGCCATTCGTTGAACATTGGCTATATGATCTAGTTCTTCTTCAGTCAACTCAACCGGTGCAACAGTACTTGGGCTTGCTTGTCCGATCTGGTGTTCGGGTATTTCAATGTCGTCGAATGATTTCTCAAAGTCCGCTCCCGACGTTGCGCTAGAGTTATCATCCTGAACATCCGTCGATTGATCTTGCGACACCATGCTTGGCCTAGGTGGAAGTACTGGTTTAGAGAGTGTCACATTCTCAGCCATTCGTTGAACATTGGCTATATGATCTAGTTCTTCTTCAGTCAACTCAACCGGTGCAACAGTACTTGGGCTTGCTTGTCCGATCTGGTGTTCGGGTATTTCAATGTCGTCGAATGATTTCTCAAAGTCCGCTCCCGACGTTGCGCTAGAGTTATCATCCTGAACATCCGTCGATTGATCTTGCGACACCATGCTTGGCCTAGGTGGAAGTACTGGTTTAGAGAGTGTCACATTCTCAGCCATTCGTTGAACATTGGCTATATGATCTAGTTCTTCTTCAGTCAACTCAACCGGTGCAACAGTACTTGGGCTTGCTTGTCCGATCTGGTGTTCGGGTATTTCAATGTCGTCGAATGATTTCTCAAAGTCCGCTCCCGACGTTGCGCTAGAGTTATCATCCTGAACATCCGTCGATTGATCTTGCGACACCATGCTTGGCCTAGGTGGAAGTACTGGTTTAGAGAGTGTCACATTCTCAGCCATTCGTTGAACATTGGCTATATGATCTAGTTCTTCTTCAGTCAACTCAACCGGTGCAACAGTACTTGGGCTTGCTTGTCCGATCTGGTGTTCGGGTATTTCAATGTCGTCGAATGATTTCTCAAAGTCCGCTCCCGACGTTGCGCTAGAGTTATCATCCTGAACATCCGTCGATTGATCTTGCGACACCATGCTTGGCCTAGGTGGAAGTACTGGTTTAGAGAGTGTCACATTCTCAGCCATTCGTTGAACATTGGCTATATGATCTAGTTCTTCTTCAGTCAACTCAACCGGTGCAACAGTACTTGGGCTTGCTTGTCCGATCTGGTGTTCGGGTATTTCAATGTCGTCGAATGATTTCTCAAAGTCCGCTCCCGACGTTGCGCTAGAGTTATCATCCTGAACATCCGTCGATTGATCTTGCGACACCATGCTTGGCCTAGGTGGAAGTACTGGTTTAGAGAGTGTCACATTCTCAGCCATTCGTTGAACATTGGCTATATGATCTAGTTCTTCTTCAGTCAACTCAACCGGTGCAACAGTACTTGGGCTTGCTTGTCCGATCTGGTGTTCGGGTATTTCAATGTCGTCGAATGATTTCTCAAAGTCCGCTCCCGACGTTGCGCTAGAGTTATCATCCTGAACATCCGTCGATTGATCTTGCGACACCATGCTTGGCCTAGGTGGAAGTACTGGTTTAGAGAGTGTCACATTCTCAGCCATTCGTTGAACATTGGCTATATGATCTAGTTCTTCTTCAGTCAACTCAACCGGTGCAACAGTACTTGGGCTTGCTTGTCCGATCTGGTGTTCGGGTATTTCAATGTCGTCGAATGATTTCTCAAAGTCCGCTCCCGACGTTGCGCTAGAGTTATCATCCTGAACATCCGTCGATTGATCTTGCGACACCATGCTTGGCCTAGGTGGAAGTACTGGTTTAGAGAGTGTCACATTCTCAGCCATTCGTTGAACATTGGCTATATGATCTAGTTCTTCTTCAGTCAACTCAACCGGTGCAACAGTACTTGGGCTTGCTTGTCCGATCTGGTGTTCGGGTATTTCAATGTCGTCGAATGATTTCTCAAAGTCCGCTCCCGACGTTGCGCTAGAGTTATCATCCTGAACATCCGTCGATTGATCTTGCGACACCATGCTTGGCCTAGGTGGAAGTACTGGTTTAGAGAGTGTCACATTCTCAGCCATTCGTTGAACATTGGCTATATGATCTAGTTCTTCTTCAGTCAACTCAACCGGTGCAACAGTACTTGGGCTTGCTTGTCCGATCTGGTGTTCGGGTATTTCAATGTCGTCGAATGATTTCTCAAAGTCCGCTCCCGACGTTGCGCTAGAGTTATCATCCTGAACATCCGTCGATTGATCTTGCGACACCATGCTTGGCCTAGGTGGAAGTACTGGTTTAGAGAGTGTCACATTCTCAGCCATTCGTTGAACATTGGCTATATGATCTAGTTCTTCTTCAGTCAACTCAACCGGTGCAACAGTACTTGGGCTTGCTTGTCCGATCTGGTGTTCGGGTATTTCAATGTCGTCGAATGATTTCTCAAAGTCCGCTCCCGACGTTGCGCTAGAGTTATCATCCTGAACATCCGTCGATTGATCTTGCGACACCATGCTTGGCCTAGGTGGAAGTACTGGTTTAGAGAGTGTCACATTCTCAGCCATTCGTTGAACATTGGCTATATGATCTAGTTCTTCTTCAGTCAACTCAACCGGTGCAACAGTACTTGGGCTTGCTTGTCCGATCTGGTGTTCGGGTATTTCAATGTCGTCGAATGATTTCTCAAAGTCCGCTCCCGACGTTGCGCTAGAGTTATCATCCTGAACATCCGTCGATTGATCTTGCGACACCATGCTTGGCCTAGGTGGAAGTACTGGTTTAGAGAGTGTCACATTCTCAGCCATTCGTTGAACATTGGCTATATGATCTAGTTCTTCTTCAGTCAACTCAACCGGTGCAACAGTACTTGGGCTTGCTTGTCCGATCTGGTGTTCGGGTATTTCAATGTCGTCGAATGATTTCTCAAAGTCCGCTCCCGACGTTGCGCTAGAGTTATCATCCTGAACATCCGTCGATTGATCTTGCGACACCATGCTTGGCCTAGGTGGAAGTACTGGTTTAGAGAGTGTCACATTCTCAGCCATTCGTTGAACATTGGCTATATGATCTAGTTCTTCTTCAGTCAACTCAACCGGTGCAACAGTACTTGGGCTTGCTTGTCCGATCTGGTGTTCGGGTATTTCAATGTCGTCGAATGATTTCTCAAAGTCCGCTCCCGACGTTGCGCTAGAGTTATCATCCTGAACATCCGTCGATTGATCTTGCGACACCATGCTTGGCCTAGGTGGAAGTACTGGTTTAGAGAGTGTCACATTCTCAGCCATTCGTTGAACATTGGCTATATGATCTAGTTCTTCTTCAGTCAACTCAACCGGTGCAACAGTACTTGGGCTTGCTTGTCCGATCTGGTGTTCCGGTATTTCAATGTCGTCGAATGATCGCTCGAAGTCAGCTTCTGATGTTGCGCTGGAGTTATCATCCTTAACATCCGTCGATTGATCTTGAGACATCATGCTTGGTCTAGGTGGAAGTACTGGTTTAGTGAGTGTCACATTCTCAGCCATTCGTTGAACATTGGCAATATGATCTAGTTCTTCTTTAGTCAACTCAATCGGTGCAACAGTACTTGGGCTTGCTGTTCTGGCCTGGTGTTCGGGTATTTCAATGTCG